TGGTCAAAGGCTTTAAACAAAAGGAAGGGTATGATTTCTTTGATACCTATTCACCTGTTACGCGTTTAGCATCGATAAGAGTGCTTCTCTCGATTGCTGCTTTGCACAATCTTGAGATTCACCAAATGGATGTCAAGACGGCATTTTTGAATGGTGAATTGGAAGAAGATATATACATGGAACAACCTGAAGGGTTTGTTGCACCTGGACAAGAGAGAAAGGTGTGTAGATTGATCAAATCCTTGTACGGACTGAAACAAGCTCCGAAACAATGGCATTTGAAATTTGATGACGTGATGTTGACAAATGATTTCAAAATCAACGAATGTGATAAATGTGTTTATGTCAAGGGTACATCAAATACATTTGTGATTGTATGTCTATATGTAGACGATATGTTGATCATGGGGAGTAGCCATGAAGTGATCATTGATACAAAAAGAATGTTGAAAAGAAATTTCGACATGAAAGATATGGGTTTGGCTGATGTTATTCTTGGAATAAGAATTATCAGAACCCAAGATGGAATTGTCTTGTCACAATCTCATTATGTAGAGAAAGTGCTCAAGAAATTTGATACCTATGACGGTGCACAGTCTAGGTGTAAGACACCCCTTGATCTCAGTATAAATCTGGAAGTCAACAAAGGTCAACCAGTGGCTCAGTTGGAATATTAACGGATAATAGGGAGTCTGATGTATTTGACAAATTGTACACGACCAAATTTGGCCTATCCGGTGAATAAGTTGAGCAGATTTACGAGCAATCCCAGTCATGAGCACTGGAATGCTTTGAGAAGGGTACTTAAGTACTTGAGGTACACCCTTGAATACGGGTTAAAATACTCGAGATACTCAGCTGTACTTGAAGGGTGCTGTGATGCAAGCTGGATATCAGATTCGAGAGATTCTAGCTCCACTAGCGGATATGTTTTCTGTATTGGAGGAGGTACAGTTTCGTGGAAATCCACAATACAAACGTGTATAGCTCGGTCAACGATGGAATTGGAGTTCATCGCTTTAGATAAAGCTGGTGAAGAAGCCGAGTGGCTTAGAAATTTTCTATCTGATATTCCATGTTGGGATAAGACTTTGCCGCCTGTGATGATTCACTGTGATAGCCAAGCTGCTATAGGTACGGTGCAAAGCAACTTATATAACGGTAAGTCTAGACATATTCGTCGTAGACATAATATCATACGTCAATTGATCACAGATGGTATTATTTCCATTGACTATGTGAAGTCTAAGGAAAATTTGGCTGATCCTTTGACGAAAGGATTGAATAGAGTGTTGGGTTCGATATACTGTACGGAATAGAGTTTGCAGCGAAATTTAAAATTTTATAAGTATTTATCTAATAAATACTTATTCCGTACATAAGTATAACGAGATAACAAATAAGCATCATTTAAAATCTAGTAACTTTTACTAATTTTGATTTGATATGTAATTTATAAAATTACCTTTGTTCTTGAACTCCTTCAAAAACGACGATGGATGAGGAAATCAATTCCCGGTTTGGTAACGTCCACTTCTTGATGTTACTCGCTTTAGGAATTCAAATGTCTTCCCTCTAAGAGTATCCACCTTTTGAACTCCGGTTCCGACTATAGTTTCTTCGCTAGTAGAATCTACTCGGTTTTTTCAATAAGTATAGAATATATATATTTATAAGGAAATTTTACAA